GTGTGTGTGTGTGTGTGTGTGTGTGTGTGTGTGTGTGTGTGTGTGTGTGTGTGTGTGTGTGTGTGCAATGACGTGTGTATGTCTGCTTGTTTTCCTTGTTTATATAAGCATATTATGAAACCAGTGTGTGCTGAGCCAAAGACAAAAAAAGAGCTTTGGTTATGAGGCTTATTAGAGAGACGAATGTCACAGCAGAATACATGTTTTTGCTGTGATGACGGAAAAAAGCTGCTCCTCCACACAGTTTGTCTGAAAGCGAAGTGACGACAAATAGTCACAAATCTCCCTCAACGACTTCCTGTGAAATAAGAAACTGGCTGAGAGCCAGCAAGACAAAAATCCCTCCTGTTCTAACAAACTGCCATCTGTTTAGTCACAAGCGAAAGCACAATGAGGCATGTTTATATGGAATTAATTGTACACGTTGAATTGCTGTAAAGTATTTTTATGTCAATGACACATTTGCACGGCTCGTATCACAATAATTTTCCCAGTGATTTTTTTTTTCTGGCGTAAATTCAAGAAGCAACTGAAAATCCCATCATCTGTGAAATTCTGCCAAAGATTCTGTCATTTCAGACATCTGAGAAGAGGAGGGGTGTCAACCTTTCACAAGAGGAAGTGATCTATTTAATGTTTTCTGATGAAAAGCTGAGTCAGGAYTGTCAGCAGGGAAGGAGCATACGACAATAATCTGCTGTGACTCAGAAAGAACTCACATAGTGCATTTTGTCTGGCCCAGTTCTGGCCCACACGATGCACTAACACTCGGCACAGATACMGCAAAGGATGACTTCTCCTGGGGTGGCCTAGATGTGGTTTGCCAGAGGTGGTCCTTGCATGGGCCAGTACCACCTAAAMCAAACCRGACCAGTTGYRGCATTGATAGATTTGGGCCACAATATCCAAACTGGGCCARTTGTGGCATGCCATCTTCAAAACAGTGCCACCATTGCCAGACCTGGCCCACATCCAGTAGACGAACCACTTGCCATGCCAGTAATCAGCTTACAGTGCTAGCTTGACACCAGATCTGGCCCACATCTGTCTGTGGGAATAATGAGAGTTAAACAGGCAGGTGTGCGTCTGTGTTTCTGAGCAGCTGTGAGAAGAAAAGTTGCTCGTTGTGCCTCGGAGGAGAATCAGCGGCGGCAATAATTATATGCTACTGATTAAACAGGCTACTTAACTAATCTACCTGGATGAACACAGAAATGTTAAAAGAGGTTAAAAAGAAAACCCTTTCAGAGCCCTATCTGAATGAAATGACCCATGCTATGGCATGAGATACAAAATCCCTGCAAATCAAACAAAAGCAGAAGTTTTGTCAGTTTGCTCATCGGGTGAGATTAATGCAAGATATCAGCGATATTAGAAGAGCAATGTTTGCTGYGTTTCAGTCAGGGAAGGGTTAAAATTAGCATGCATGTTACAGTGCCTGCTGAATCTTGATCGTAGAAAAAAAAAGCATTTTCTTTCTAAAACAAACACAGCTGCACCACCTGTCCTGACACACCAACCACTGGAATATACTGCCCTTCTTTTTGACTGTGATGGTGCATGCYGTGTGTTTATGCATATGTGATCAGAACAGCCACAGCAATTGTTCAACCTGCCCAGCGACACACTGCAGCCAGTTCTAGYCTCTGTGTGGAACCTAAGACACAAAGGTCTTCGAAAAGTGCTGAAGATGTGAAGACAATAGGCTGTGACAGCAGCAYAAACACTACCAAAAATACTCCTAGTGTTCTGCAATTAGAAGTTGCCTGAGCTTGAACTTTTTCATCCTGGCTGTATTTTAGCATAGAAATTGCTGAGAAAAAAAGATTTTTCATGCTTAGACAACCTGAAAATCGCACATAACTAAAGGGCTTTTCCAAAAATATTTTTAATGTTTTAAAACAAAGTGAATGACACAAAGAAAAAAAAGATTTAAAAAAACTGATTGAATGAAATCATGAACGGTGGCAAAAAAATCTAAATAAACTGTGTCAAACTTCTGCTCTAAGTTCTTTGTTAACAAACAGAAAACTTCATTAAATATTTCAACTTTAAGCAATTGTATTGCATGATAAAATGTTTGCTGATGGCTACAAAGAGGAACACAAAGGGAGTTAAAGCAGCTCCCACAGCCTGCCTGAAACAGACCCCCCTGGTCCAAAACTCCCCGTAACCTCCAGTGTCCTCCAGCTGCACCTCCTGCAGGAGGTAACAACAACAACTCCATCACAAGAGAAAAGAGGCCCTGCATCAACTGGAAACAGCAATCTGCACACAGGCTTCAACGTGCATTTATTATTGTAAGTATTAAAAAGAAATAACCACGGTAACAAAAACAGTACCTAGTTGAATTTGGTGTTTTAGTGTGTAGCAGAGTTCAGGTGAAGGAGAAATATCTGGCATCTGTGCAGATCTTTGTAAACACAGGACCAGCTAATAAACTAGAGGTGCCAGTTGGAAAGTTACAGTTTTTACTAATAGTGTGTTCAAGGTCAAGTATTTAGCATTATACAACTAAGACATCAGTTTTTTAACTGTTTATTATCAATAAATGTCAAATCTAATTGTTTTTTTAGGTTTAACATTTCCTGATTTCATCTTCCTAACTTCACAACTTTGTCAGAATTACAGTTCCTGAGCTCTTTTTCACGGTCACTCGTCCGCAGTTTTCCCCAGAGCTTCCACTGTGGTTCACAAGGATCCCAGGGAGCAGAGCAAAAACCACCAGAATCCACTATATTTAAACACACACACACACACACACACACACACACACAC